GAGAACACAGTCTACAAAAAATAAGTGAGCAAATGATTTGAATAGACACCTTACCAAAGAAGATACAAAGATGGCACGTAAGCACATGGAGACATGTTCAGTATCCTTGTTGTTGTTTGCCATCGAGTCAGCCCCAACTCATAGCGACCCCTCCTTGGGTTTCCAAGGCAGTATCACTACGGAAGAGGATTGCCCAACCTTCCTTCCCAGGAGTATCCTTAGGGAATGCAAATTAAAACCATAGTGAGATACCACTACACGTGTTACAAAAACCCACTGCCATTGAATTGATTCCGACTCATAGCAACCCCCAAGTAGATTTATTGCCCCGTCTCCCTTTTGTGGAGTGGCTGGTGGATTTGAACCAACAGCCTTCTGATTAGTAGTCAAATACCTTAGGCCCTGTACCACCAGAGCGCCACACCTATTAGAATGGCTAACATTTAAAAAGACTGATAATACCAAGCAATGGCAAGTGTATAGAGCAATTTGAACTCATACATGGCTGGAAGAAAAGGAAATTTGTACATTTACTTCAGAAAACAGATAGTAGTTTCTAATAAGAAATGGAAAAAATTTACCATATAACCCTGTCTTGTAGGTTTTACCTTAGAAAATTAATAGAGAAATAGATACTCAGTTTCATCATGCATAAACTAGTTCTTGGCTAAAAGCAAAGAATATGAGAAAGATGTTTGTCTGTGTTTTATTGATTATGCAAAGGTATTTGAGTGGTGGAACCTAACAAATTATGGGTAACATTACAAAGAATGGGAATTCTAGAACACTTGATTGTGCTTATGAGGAACCTGTACATAGACTAAGACCAGTTGTTCAAACAGAACTAGAGGATACTGCGTGGTTTAAAATCAGGGAAGATGTGTGTCAGCATTGTATCCTTTTACCATACTTAATCTATCTGGGGAACAATCTGAGAAACGACTATACAAAAGAATGATGTGGCATCAGGATGGGAGGAAGACTAGCAACCTGGGATATGCAGATGACGCAACCTTACTTGCTGAAAGTGAAGAAGATTTGAAGATCAAAGACTACAGCCTTTGGCATGGATTACACCTAAATATATATATATAAAAAAAAAAAAAAAACAGAAATCCTCACAACTGGACCAATAAGCAATATCATGATAAATGGAGAAAAGATTACAGTTGTCAGGGATTTCATTTTATGTAGAGCCACAATCAATGCCCAGTCAAAAAAATCAGATATTGTATTGCACTAGGTAAATCTGCAAAAGACCTCTTTAAAGTGTTAAAAGAGTAACAGTGTCACTTTGAACACTAAGGTTCACCTGACCAAAGCTATGGTATTTTCAATATCTCGTATGCATGTGAAAACTGGACAATGAATAAGGAAGACCAAAGAAGAAATGATACATTTGAATTGTGTTGGTGAAGAATATTAAAAATACCAAAATCTTCTTCAACCTTGTTGATTCCTTCCTCATAGGTAGGCCCAGACATCCTTGGTTCCTTGGCTTGGAGACAATCATCACATGGCCTCTGTATGCCTTAGAAGTGGTTACTTCTAGGATCCACTTTACATTGGTATGGCCTAATTACCATAACAAAAGAAAACTCTGTTTCCAAACAGGATTGCATCCATAGGTACCTGGACCAGGAATTCAATACATATTGTAGGGAACATAATACAGACCATAAAAAGACGCTACTAGGCCAGTATCAGACTGGCTTAAAATTTGTAAATCCAACAGTGTTAGTTGATGAGAATATAAACAATAACACAGTACTAGTGGTCATGGAAATTTTAACTATCACCCTGGAAAGCAGTTTTGTGTTATCGAATCAAGTTGATCCATCGAGTTCACATCTATACACCCCTATAGAAATGCATACTTATGTACGCCACCATACCAAACCAAACCAAACTCACTGTCATCGAGTCAGAACCGACTCATAGTGACCCCTCCTTGGGTTTCCAAAGTGGTATCACTACAGAAGTAGATTGCCCAATCTTCCATACTTGTGTATAATATGAAGCAATATACCTAATAGCCCCAAATTGTAAATAAATGTCCACTGAAAGTAACATACATAAATAGAATATGCTATTTACAAACATAGGAGCTCTGGTAGCATAGTGCCTAAAGCACTTGACTGCTAACCAGAAGGCTGGCGGTTCAAACCC